GCAGGAGGATTCAGGGGCGAGCGGGGAGGGCTCTGGCCTTACCAAGCTCCTCCTCAGTCATGGGCAGAAAGTGGTCCACCAGCTCCTCTGACTTGCCCAGCACTACGTCCACGGCGTGGCTCATGGATCGTTTCAGCTCCACACTCCAGCGGCGGCCTTGCCGAGCCAGGCCTACCATGCCTGTCACGCCACTGGCCACCGCGTCCTTGGCCGAGGTCACCACCTGGCGGAAGGGGCCCAGCTCCAGTTGCTGTAGGTCTCCGGCTCCCTTCCCCTGCCCCCAACTCCCTGGGGCTGCGAGGCAAGGACCCCTGGCCCCTGTTTGGCTCTGGGCCACAATTTCCCCTCATAAAATGGAGGAAAATCAAATCTTCCTCACGGGGTTGCTGAAGGGATTCCCAGCACCAGCTGGCACATATTATGTGCTCAGTAAACACAAGTGTGAATTATTTTCATCTGGCTGCTGTTTTGTTCCAGTTGACCAAAACCTGACTGGGTCCTGGAGTCCAGCTGGCCCAGGTGTTCAGGCTGCGTTTCTCGCTGCCACCTCCACCCCCTACAGCTTCCCCACAATCTGGTGGTGCTGGGTACCGTCTCTGAAGGTTGCTGGAGAAAGGGCAGCTTCTCCCCCAGCTTGTCCAGGCCCCTGCAGGCGAGATCGTTCACTGTGGCCACTGGAGACAGAGAGGCAGCGAGCGAGAATTGGGGAGATGTCAAGGGAGAGAGGGACACAGGGACATAGAGGGAGGGGATGCTGGAGGGAGAGGCAGAGAAAAAAGGACACACACACACACACACACACACACACACACACGGAGGGAAAGACAGAGGGGGCACCTGGCTGGCCCCCTGCAAGGGGCCGGGACCCTGAGCCTGTGGGTGAGCCACCAGGCTGGACCCTGCCTCTCTGCCCTTCCCATCTCTGCCCTGCCACCGCTGCTGCCAGCACCAAGGTGACTCCTCACCCATGTCCAGCTCAGACGCCCCAGCGAGCAGGCTCAAGGTCACACAAGCCGGCTGAGAAGGAGGCAGGCGAGGCCCTGGGCCGGGACCCTCAGGTGATCCCCTTCCTTGGTCAGATGCGAGGCCGAGGGTCTCTCTGTCCCCCAACCCCACTGCCAGGTTGGACCCCCTGAGCTGGTCACAGGCTCAGGACGGGTGGAGGAAGGGGCAGACAGGGGAGGGAGATTGGACAGGCAAAGCGACCCAAGGCACATCAGGCTAGTCAAAGGGAGGAGGACAGTGAGACAGACAAGATGGGGACAAAAGGAGCGGGGCCCCAAGGAAACAGCTAAGGGCAGACGGGCAGGTGATCAAACTACAGAGGGACAAATAAGCAGACAGAGGGCACGAGGGATGCAGGTAGAATGGGGGACAGGACAGGCAGAGAATGGAGGGTGAGATGGCACAGGCAGAAGGACCAAGAGAGGGGATGACACAGGTGGATGGGGGACAGGCAGGTGGACAGAGTAAAGGCACACAGCATAGGTGAGACTGCAGAGGGACACCCGTCTCAGGGGGTCCACTGCAGCACCTGTCATGCAGGTGGAGCATGAGAGGGTGGGGCAGTGGGACAAACCACAGGACACAGGACTCTGGCCAGGGGGACTCACGCTGGGGCTGCAGGTGGCTGAGCAGCGGCTGGGCGTGGTCCAGGGCACGCGTGGTCAGGCCACACATGCAGTGCTCAGCCAGGCGGCAGGCGGAGCCCAGCAGCGGGTGCCTGTCCTTGGCGGCGCTGTAAGCATCGGAGACTGCAGTGCATGTGGCCCTGACCAGGGGCAGGGCCGCCACACGCTGCACCACGTTCTGCAGGAAGGGGTGGCATCAGAGGGGTCCCAGGTGGAGGGGGTGCTCAGCCACATGCTAGAGAGCCCACTCACCCTCTCTGGGCTGGGACGAGGGGCAGGTGAGAGGGGTGGGGGGGAAGTATATTGAGCGCAGCTGCATGCAGGCAATGGACACCCACACCGAGGTGCGCCTAGAGCTCCTGTTGTCAACAGCATATACAGAGCGGGACCGGTTCTGAAAGACTCAGTCTCCTTGAGGGAAGAGCCATTAGTGTCTGGTCATTAAGGGCACAGCCTCTGGAGCAAGACCACCTGCGTTCAGTTCTGGTTCTCCACTTCCAAGCTGTGTGAGCTTGGGCAAGTGCGTGAACTGCTCTGTGCCTCAGTCTCCCTATCTGTAAAATGGGTTTCTAGGGCTGTGATGGGGATTCAAGGAGTACAATATGTGAAGCACTCGGAACAGTGAATGATGCAGAGTATAGGCCGTGATTACTATTATTATTGTTGTTGTTAAGAGTGCCATGATGGTGGACACAGAAACAGAGATACAGGTAGAGACCCAGAGATGGGAGTGGGAGAGAGTTGGGCAGAGGCCAGGTAACCTGGCTGAGAGTATCTGGAGAGACACACCCCAGAGACACACCCTTCCCTGGGCCTCACTTCGCCCCTCTGGGAAATGGGTAGAATGTGCCTCCCCCAACCACGCTCCAAAATGCCCTCAGAGTAAGGTGCTTGAAGCAAGGGCAGGGGGACCCAGTCTGAAACTGTCCCAGGAGGGACTGCCCCCCCACCTCCTCCCGTGCCGAGCTCCATGGGAGGTGCAGCCCCTTACCTGCTGGTCCTGCTCCCACAAGCTGGGTCTGGGGGCCTGAGCCGCCTCGTCTTCTGACATGCCGACTGCAAACAGGGTCACCCTGGGAGCAGGACAGAGTGATGGGCCCCTGCACGTCAGCCCTTCCGGCTCCCACCCAGGCCTTGGGTTCTGTCTGGCTGGGCTTGGTGACCCAAGCAAGTCTCCTTCCCTCTTGGGGCCTCATTTTCCTCATCTGCAAAATGAGGTAATGATAATGCCTACCTCAGAGCGCCCCGGGCAGGGACAATGCATGCACAGGGCTCTGCACACAGCAGGTGCATAGTAGAGAACCTCTGACAAAGTGGAGGCCCTGCAGTGATTCAAAGCATAGGCTCTGGGCAGAGAGACACCTGAGTTCGAGTGTGACCATTACCTGCTGTGTGACTTTGGGCAAATGCCTTCACCTGTGTGGGCTGTTGCCTCCGCTGCAGTTAGGGAAGATCTCTGTTGCCCTGGCCCAGGATGGAACCGTGCAAGCAGCCCCCTGCGGGAGTGCAGGTGGTTGCCGCAGAATCCCAGTAAACCCACAGTCCAGTTTGATATACATGGAAACTAAGGCACACAGCAGGTCCATGGTGGGCCCAAGGTCACTCAGCTAAGTAGACTCAGAGCGGGACTTCGACCTCAGACTCCCCGCCTGCAGTTCTTCCCCCGTCCGCACCCAGCGCCCTCAGAACCCTACTCCTCTCCCAACTGGGTCCTGAGCTTTTGCCAACTGGGCCAAGGGTCTCAGCCACCTGCTCCAGCCTGTCACACCACTCCTCTCCCCAGGCCGCTGGACTCTCGCCCTCCACCCACCCACCGCGCCCCCGGGCCTGCTGGGCACTCCTGAACGCCGCCCGCGAGGCACTCACCCGGGCGCGTTCAGCTTCAGCCCCAAGGTGCTGCGGCAGACCCCAGACTTAAACTCCAGTCTCCGACCCCAGCCTTCCCCGCCCCGCTTATAGTGACTTGGAGGCGGGACCTTCGGGGACCGACCAATAGGGAGAGGCCTGAGGGGGCGTGTCCGGGGCGGGGCTCCGGGGCCCCTCGCCCTACCCAGGGGCTCCCCGAGCACCCCGCGGTTGCCATAGCAACTTGGGGACGCTCTATGCCAAGGATTGAGTTACTATCCTTGGCTAAGTTTGACCACCTGTCACCCTCACTGCTGTTGCCGCAGAGACGATGGAGAGCGATCACAGCCCCCCACCGCTTCGCCCAGTGACCTTGGGCAAGTCCTCATGGTCTTTCTTTTTACTTTTTAAAACCTGCCGCTTAACTAAGCCGGAAGACAGGCCGGCCCATTCACTTGGATCCCCATTTTACAGATGAGCAAAGTGAGTATCAAAATACTTAAACTACTTGCCCTGGGTTGCCTAGCGATTGAGGAATCTGATTCAAACACAGCTCTGCCAGACTGCAGAACCCTGGCTTTCATCACCACACCTGGAATGACCACCAACGTGGGCATGACCCTCCTTCCAGGGAGCTGCAAAAACCGAGCATGCCCCAAACATCCCAGGGTCCCCCCAGTCTGACCTCGACCCCCACCATGCCCAACATTGGGTTAGAAGGTGGCCCTGAGGTTCTGGAGCTGTGAAAACACAGCCCCCAGGGCCTCTGCCCAGCTGTTCAGCCCCATCCAGCCTGCCCATGCTTGTCCTGGGCAGCTGCTCCCCTGGTTATCACAGGCCAGCATGAAAAATTGTTTGGAGCCCTGAAGCAATCTGGTTTAATTTAAACCTTCCCCAGGACACAAGCTCTGGAAGGAATCCACTGGTAAAACGACACCTTGGGCAATGGTCAGGGTTTTATTACCAGTTAAATCCAAGGATGGGGAAAGGGGGAGGAGCAGACAGCCATCAGATCCCAACTGCTATCGATTTGGGATTTCATGGCATGCCTCTCCTTTCCTTCTACTTCATTCTGGACACCTGGGAATTCGCCTTGGGAGAATGCAAGGAACACAGCAAATACATCCAATTCTGTTCAACAGTTATTTATTAACCCCTTCCAGTCTGACCTCAAACCGAGTGATGCTGAGTAAGAGGGAACCCAGCCCCAGGCCCTGCACTCAGAGAACCCCTGAAACTGGGGGAGACAGAGCCAGATTGAGCCAACCTCAGTGTGGCCAGGACAGGTTGGAGAAGCCAGAGACCAAGAGACCCGGGAAATAGGGGAAAGAGATTTCTGGAAGAGGATACAGCTTGAGCAGAGGCAAGGAAGCAGGAAGAGCCCAAGGTGTGTTTGGGGCAACATGGGCGAAACAGGTCCCGGCAACTATGAGAAGCCCAGCCTCACCCTTAGAAGGTGGGATTATTTGCTAAGTGGGGTGCGGCGTCCTGCCAAGCCTTGCCTCCCCACCCCGCCCCCAGCCTTCAAGGGGACCTGGCCACCACTAGGAGCATTTGGCCCTTCAGGGCTTTAGGGCCGGCACAGCGTGTGTCATTGCTGAAGAACATCTTGTCTTCATTGGCCACCAGCCACTCAAAGAGGTCGTCCAGTTTCCGGTCGCAGATCCAAGGATTACCTGAGAGGTCAAAGCCGTCCTTCATGTTCCCGGCAGCCTTCCCCAAGGACATCCAGAGCCCCTCAGGCACGGTGGTCAGCAAGTTGTTGGAGAGGTCCAGCATGTCCAGCTTCTGCAGACCTCGGAAGGCACCGGCTGCCACCGTGGCCAGCCTGTTGTCGTTCAGGAATAGGTAGCGCAGTTTTGGCTGGTGCACCAGAAGGCCCTTTCCGAGCTCCTGCAACCTATTACCCTCGAGGTGCAGCCGTTCCAACCTCAAGGGGCCGCTCAGAAGGTCAGGGGGCAAAGTCTCCAGCTGGTTATTGCCAAGGTCAAGGATGAGCAGGTCGGTGAAACTGGCCAGCAGCCCAGGGGGCAGCGTCTGGAGCTGGTTCCCGGATAGGTCCAGATGCCGCAGGGCTTTCAGGCTGTGCAGCCATGAGGCCTCCAGAACTTTCAGCTGGTTTTCCTTCAGCACCAGGGTGTGAAGGGCAGCTGAGACCTGGAAGAGGCCAGGAGGCAGCCGGGTCAGGGCGTTGCGGGTCAGATCAAGCACCTTTAGCTGAGGCACAGGCAGCAGGAACTTGGCGGAGAGGTCCTCCAGCTGGTTGCTGGAAAGGTGCAGTTCCTGGAGGTTAGGGATGCCCTGGAGGGTGTTGGCAGGCAACTGACTCAGGTTGAAGAACTCCACGGCCAGGTAGACAGTGTCAGCTGGGATGTAGTGGGGGAGTCCAGCAGGTGGTTGGCAGGAGATGGAGCTGCCGTTACCCGAGTGGGACACCAGGCAGGTGTCTGGCTTTGAGGTGACCCCCTGGGCTGAGACCACAAATAACAGCAGCAGGAAGAGGATTCTAGAAAGATGGGAGTCCCAGCCTACTGGGCTGCAGGCAATGACAGAAAGTGCTTAATAAGTCCAAATAATATTATATACCCAGCAAAGTGAAAAGATACCCAGAATCTGCCTGCTTCTTCCCACCTCTACTTTACCACCCTGGACCATGCCACCTCATTGCTGGCCTGGACTAGTGTAGTAGTCCCCTCCTTCCCCTCTCCTGGCTTACACCCTCAACCCCCGCCCCCCCACCCCCAGCTGCCAGAAGTAGCTCCTGTTCCAGGAAGAATTCTGTGAAACCTGAGTTTCTTAGTCTGACCCCTACATACTACCCTTCCCCATTGTCAGCCCAGCCCCAATGGACTATTAATTATTTGCAGTCCAACTTGCTAATTTCTTCTGCTCTCACTTGTTTTCTGGGTCATTTCTTGTCTCCCTGGCTCCATGTTTTGAAGGCAGAGCCTATGAACTCTTACTCATCCTGCAAAACCCCAGCTCCAATGGCCTCCTTTCCACAAAGCTTTCTCTGACCCTCCCAAGCAGAATTCTCAGTTTCCCCATCTGCTCCTCTTTCTGTCTAGCCCTGTCTAGGTTATCTGTGCCCAGCCCCATCTTGCTCCAAAGTTCTGGACTCCAGATACACATGGGACTCTGAGCATGAAAAGTGCATCCTGCCTTGTACAGGTCTGGAGGCAGGCATTTGGTTTTGGGATGATGAGATTTACAGTTGGTACTGGAACCCTTCAAGGGCTGGGGCTTCTGTTCCTCCCGGTCCCTCCAGCAGTAATGCCCTAGCCCAGCAGCCCTAGAGACCACCTGAACATCCTTGGTTACTACAGCCCCTGGACCACCTGGGCCTTCTGCAGGGAGTGTGTGTATGGGAATGAGTCTGTCCATAGATGGAGCCTGAGTGTCAGTCTGTTCCAGCCTGCAGGCCTACGTCTGGCCCTGTGACTTCAGTGGGTCAGACGGAATGTCCATGTATCTCTGCACTGTCTGGTGTCCGGGCCTGCCCAGGGTGGGCGGGGTGGGGACCTACCTCTGTTTTCGCTCTGGGCTCCAAGAGGACATGGCGGCCTCTCTCTTTTCCATCCAGGTTCCCTTGGTCTGGCAAGGTGGCCTTATACCTGCCTGGGCTGGGGACAGGGGCACCAGCCATGGGGAAGTCTCCACCCACATCCTGTTCCCGTTAGGGGCTGGACCTGAGCCAGGCAGGGGAAAGGGAGGGGTCAGGATTGCAAAATTGCTTCCTGGCAGGGGGAGGACAGAAGGTGGGCTGCCCACCACCTTCTCGACCCTGCTTCTACCTAGTTTTTCTTTCCCCTGAGTCCTGCTTTTGGGGAGTGGGTACCCAAGAGTCTCTGAGGCTGAGTCCCCACTTCCCCCAATCTAGGAATCAAGGGTCAAGTTTGTAAGGCGCCAGTCTGTCCTGGGAGATGGGGACAACTCTTTGAGCAAGAGGTACTATTTATAATAAATTTGAGCAACCAGGAAGCTCAGTGAAGAGAACAAAAAAACACTTGTCTTATATTCATGACATATTTTTTTTTAGTAAAATAATTAAAAAAAAAGAATTCAAAAGCAAGTGATGCCAAAAGTCTCCACAGTCTTTGAACAATGGTCTGGGAGGGACTAAACCTGGTTCTGAATCCCAGCTCTTCTGTGACTGCTCTGCTTTGTGAACTTGGGCAAGTGGCTTAACTTTTCTTGGCCGCAGTTTCCCTATCTGGGAAGCTGAACTCAGTCTCCGAGAGCCCCTTCCATTCTTTCTTTCTTCAGCTGAAGCTGATGTGCTATTTGTTTTGGACTTTTCTCATTTCCTAATAAGTGCATGTGAAGGCTCACACTTCCCTCTGAGAACTGTTTGACTGCATCTCACAGGTTTGGCTATTCAGTGCTTAAATTCTTGTTGAGTTCTAAACATTCAGGTGTGATATATTATCTTTATCTGCATGCCTGGCTATGGCCTCTTTTTCCCAGCCCAATCTCTGAAGGGTTTTGTCCCTATTCAGCTGTGAGGATGACTAAGCATTCTGTCTTAGTGGACATACGGGCTGAGAGGGAAACACACAGGCTGGCATAGACCGGCACAGATAAAGAAAGACAGATAACCATCTGCGTGAAATACACGGACATACATAGTGACAAAGAGACAGGGAAAAATACATAGACAGACCCAGAGACACAGACAGAGCAGGACACACGGGAGAGAACAACGTATCTGCAGAGATGGACACACAAAAACAGACACACACAAACAGGAAAAGGACCTGAGTAGACGTTTTTCCAAAGAAGACATACAAATGGCCAACAGGTACATGAAAAGGTGCTTGACATCACTGATCATCAGGAGAATGCAAATCAAAACCACAATGAGATGTCACCCACACCTGTTAGAATGGCTTCATCAAAAAGACAAGAGATAAGTGTTGTGAGGGTGTGGAGAAAAGGGAACCCTTGTGCACTGCTGGTGGGAATGTAAATTGGTGCAGTAGGGAGGTTCCTCAAACAAAAAATTAAAAATAGAACTACCATATGATCTGGCAATCTCACTTCTGGGTATGTATCCAGAGGAAATGAAACCAGTATCTTGAAGAGATATCTGCCCTCCCGTGTTCATTACAGCACTATTCACAATAGCCAAGACATGGAAACAACCTAAGTGTCCATTCATAGATGCATGGATAAAGATGTGGTGTATATATGTATAATGGAATATAATTCAGCCATAACAAGGAAGCAAATCCTGCCCATTTGGGACAACGAGGATGAAACTTGAGGGCATTAAGCTAAGTGAAATAAGTCAGGCAGAGAAAGACAAATACTGAGTGATCTCAGTTATGTAAAATAACCAAATTCATAGAAACCAAGAGTAGAATGGTGGTTGTCAGGGACTGAGGGGTGAGGGAAAGGGAGAGATGTTGGTTAAAGGATATAGACTCCCAGCTATAAGATGCATAAGTCCTGAGGATGTAATGTACAGCGTGGTGATTAGTTAACAAGACTGTACAGTATACTTGAAAGATGCTAAGAGAGTAGATCTTAAATGTTCTTACCACACACACAGAAAGTAACTATGTGAAGTAATGGATGTGTCAACCTTATTGTGATAATTATCTTACAATATATATCAAACATATCAAATCATCAAGATATGCACCAGAAGCCTACACAATCTTATATGTCAAATATATTTCAATCAAGCTGAAAAAAGACACACAGGTACAGGAGGAGCTGCTAGATGCTGTCATGGTGTTTTGTGTTTCTTTGTTTCAATCAGTCTCCCCATGATAAGCAGTGGACAGGGGTTCTGTCCTGTTCATTGTTCTATCCCCAGAGCCCAGCACACAGTAGGTGCTTAATCGACATGGGCCGGAAGAGTTGTGAATTGTAGGGACATAATGCTAAAGTGATCTCTTAAAATGAAATCAGATCATGTCCCCTGCTTAAAACTCTCTGATGGCTTCCTGTCCCACTTAAAATTCTTAAGGCTGGAGGGAGCAGGGAGTGGGGAGTTTGTGTTTCATGGGGACAGAGTTTCAATTTGGGAAAACGAGAAAGTTCTGGAGATGGATGGTGGGGATGGCTGCACAACAGTGTGAATGTACTTAATGCCACTGAGCAGTACACTTAAAAATGGTTCAAGTGGTAAATTTGATCGTATATGTTATTTACCACAATTAAAAAAAAAAATTGTACTCCTCACTGGTGAGGCCCTGCCTGCCTGGGGCCCTGTGCTCCTCTCCCTCCTTATCTCCAGCTGCTCGCCTTTCACTCACCTAGTGTGGTTGCTCCAGGCATACTAATGGCCTGGGCCCTCCTCCAAGCTTCCTACCTACCGCAGGGCCTTTGCACTGGCTGTTCCCTCTGCCTAGAACACTCTGCACATCTTCCCACAGCTGCTCCTTCTAGCCCATCTTATTTCAGCTTACATGTCACCTCCTCTGGCAGGCTCTCAACTTCCCCCCACTACACAATCACCCCCTACCTAACACATTATCTGCCTTTTTCATTATTACACATATTGCTAATTCAAATCAAGTCTTAATTTGCTTTTATGTGGTTGGTCTTCCCCATTAGGCTGCGAACTCCATGAGGACAGGGGTCTTTGTCTCCACACAGTAGGTGCATAATAAATTTTTGCTGAAGGACCAGAGACTGGCCCCCATCCAGATGAAGACTGGGACCCCTGCAACTCTCCACATTTCCACACCCAGCTCCCCATCATTCTGTTTGCTGCAATGACCCAGCCAGGACTCTCCCAGGTGCTCCCAACTGCCCCAGGCCAGGCCAGGCCACTGTCCAAGTCCCATCCCCAGGAGACAGAGCAGACCCAGAGCATTGGGGGCCGGTGGTTGTAAACAGTTTTATTGACGGGGGGTTGGGGGAGGCAAACTCCAGAGAGGGTCCAGGACTCTCAGCTGGCCACTCAGCTGGCATGCATGGTCAGCTGGAGGTCAAGGGGGAGGTCACAGAGAATGGGTGGCATGGGACCCTCTGACCACCCTGGGGCCATATTTACAGGGGGGCCCGCCCGCCTTCGCCATCTCCCAGACCGCCCGAGCCCTTAGACAGCCGCCAATACGACTTGTGGGCAGGCCGTCCTGACCCCCTGCCTGAAACCCCTTCCTCATCACCCCACAAACTCCTAACCGGCACCTTGGAGGCCCCCGGCTTTCTGGAAGCCCCGGCGTCGGCTCAGCCAACGCCCAGGCCGCTGGGGCCTCCGCACTCGCACACAGACACACACACCGCACGTGGCCGCCCCCACGCACACGCCGCAGCAGCCCGCGGGCACACGCGCACGCCTCCCTCCACTTCCCGGCCCCTTGCACACGGACACGGCATGCACGCGCGCACGCACGCACACACACACACACACACATACATACATGCCGGGGGCGGGGTCGAGGAGGGACCTCTGGGTGGGGCGGGGTGGGGAAGCTGGGATCTGCAGATGTGCCCCCTCCCCTTCCCACCGCCAAGCCCCCGGCCGCCACCCCGAGAACGGAGTTGTGCAACTGGTTAGAAAACTGCAAAAGAAAAGCAAATTGGAAAACAAACCAAAAATCCACGCGCAGAAGGTCAACCTCAAATCCACAGCACATTCCTCCCGCCCGCCCGCCTGCCCCAGACCGCCTCAGGGTCCTGCGGCCCCGGGCGCGGCGGGGCGGGGGGCCGAGCCCCTTGTGCTTCCGGGCGGCGGAGGGCGCCCCCCACCCCGCGCGGCTGGGCCGGGGGTCTGAGCACCCACTCGGAGCTGGCCCGGTCTCTCGCTCCTGGTTCCCGTGGCTGGCACCGCCGAGGCGCGCGGCCCCGGCCTAGGGCACTGGGGGCGCAGTCCTGTCCGGGCCCCCGTACGACAGGAGGTGGGCCAAGTCCGTGCCGGGCCGGGCGTGGCGGCCGCGGGGCCGGGCCTCGCCGCTGTTGATCGTGGGCGTGCGCCGCAGCGCGGCGGCGGGCGGGGCGTGCGCGCCCGGCCTCCGGAGGCTGCCGGTGGGCGGTGGG